TCTGTCACTGGTTGTATGCCTTGTCGGACCATTCCAGCTTCCCTTGCCAGGCCGTGTAGATGACGAGCTGCCTTCTGTACTTGATCTAGGAAGTCTCGGATGACTGCGTCTCTGGCTTTCACCCTTTGTTGTGCTTGATCCCAACGTAAACGCCACTGTAAACATCCGTCGAAGGGCACTATCTGAAGCTTGCTTGCTTGCTTCTTGAACCCATCTACAATAGCTTCTAACTCAGCTATTGTTTTGCCATCTCTCTCATGTTGTTTCTCCAGACCAGCCATCTGGATTCTCAAGCATTGGTTTTGATGCTGACTGCCTGCTAAGCGCCTCTGGGCAGTCTTCATCTGTTCATTCCAAGCTCTCTCATTCCAGTATTTAGAAGCCACTTCAACTTGGAGTTATCCTTGACTTTATCTTGATACCCCCTTCTCAAGTCTTCGAGCTCTAAACGAACTCTTTTTTGTTCTCTTTCTAGTTTATCTGCTCGATCTTTCTGAGAGTCGGCATCTAGATTCCACTGATAGCGCTCAGCCTCAAGTTCTTTTATCCTCTTCCCCAACTCATTGTTCACAGCTTCAAACTCTGTTTTGGCTATCTCAAGTCCAGAAGGGACATGCCTGAGATGCTCATCCATGGTCAGTATGTCCTCACAGTTTGGCACCGGGGTGTTGTCGTTTTTTCACAATCTTCGCCACTCTAAATAGTCTGGGGTAAGCATGTCTTTAGCAGCCACAATATTCATCCTTAACACTTTCTTCCATGAATCGAAAATCTCTTTGATCCTCTTCTTATAACTGTCACCGTGATACTCAAACTCTGATTTAGCTAGTTCGCATGTTGTTGGGACAAACTAACGTTCCCCATAATGTCTAAGTGCTAACAATGGAGCATACCCAACTGCATCCCAAAGTTCAGATAAGGTCATAGTGTCATAGTCCCCACATTGGAAAAGAACGTCACTGAAGAACAACCAGGGGGCTCTCCAAGTAATATCTCGGTCTTGATAGATGAGTAAAAACTTTCATCCACTTCTCTTTTGAAGTTTTTTTATGCCATTTCATGGTGATGAACTCTCTCAAAGGTGAATACGTAGTGCTAAATCGGCGGTAGGCAACCCCATTATTCTTCCAAAAGTGGTTGTGAATCCAGACTTGAAGGAGCTGAACACATCCAATGAATCTACCTCCGCCAGCTCTTCGGCAATGGTTGAGAGACCGAAAGGTCTCGGCTAAGATAGTTGGTGCTGGGTTGACCCGTTTCGAAAGTTGCTCAAACAGTTCCACCACGGCTGCGTCAATGCATCCCAAAATCTTCGGAAATATGATCAAGCCATACATACCTAGTGCAAAAAAGGTCTATAGTCTTCCATTCATCAGGGTGGTTATTCATTAGTTTCCTTATGTGGATCCACTCAATTCCCTGCCCGTTACCTTTGTTTTAGAGTCGGCCAGTCACCCACTTTTCATCAACTCCTGCAATCTTAGCCAGTCTGTTCTTGAAAGACTGACTCTTGATGTGTTTGATGTAGGCTCGCTCCAGTTTAATGCTTTCACAGTGCAATAGTGTAGTATACTCCTCGATGGTAGGTACCATGTCCTCCTGGTTAAAAGTGAAGCAACTGTATCCCGGGTTCCAGAATCGAACCAAGGCTCTGATTAAGGGCTCATCGGTCTTAACATGAAGCAAAAGTGCAATGTCATCATATCGCTGACTGAAATTCTGTTTCCAATCATTCTTCCAACTGCCCCAGATATCCCGAAGCTTTTGCACGTCGTTCTGCTTTAGGCTAATAAAGGCGTAGCTAACCAATTCTGACACATAGCTTCCTTGAAGACTGTCTCCCTTTTCCTTCTGAGTCTTCTCGGACCATAGTCGTACCTCGGGGTTTTTAATCTCTTGTATTACAATACCTTTATCCATTAATTCAGATTATTTTGTGTAACAAACACCTTTTTAAGGATCAATGGCCTCTTGTTATAATGCAAATGATGAAAACAAAATAAAAGAGGACAAAATAAAAAAAATTAGTGAGGTAAATCAAAATAATAAAATGAAAAATCCTACCCCACATGATATCTACCCGAACATGCTTAGTATTCCTACTCGGACATGATCTCTATCCCGCATGCTAATTTCAAACAAATCCTAACCGCATATTTGTCTAGTTCGCATGCTTTGAACAGAAAGTAAAGCATGAAATAATTCTGGCATCCTAGGGTTTGAAATAAGGTTTTGGGATAGGCTCTAATTCTTCAAAGTCTCCGGGTTAAGGTGCTAAAAAACGGTACCCGAGTTCTCCTTGCTGGTGTCCCATTGGGCTTACCAGACCCTTAGTCCTAAACCCATCACAGACTTATGTGGACTAAGTTAAACTCGAGAGGACACATTCTCTTATGTCTATGCGGAGAATAAATTCACACGAAGATATAAGGTATATGAATCCCGAAGGCTACTTGCTAGGCATATGCAGTGAATAAATTCACACGAATGCGTCGCTTTCACCCCACTTAAAACGGGTTCGGAGCTCGGGTTTAGAGCCTTAGATGAAAAAAGACTTTAAGGGTTGAAATCATTGAGAAAACGGTTAGTACAACTATTTATTCGAAAAAATATAATCAAAAGTAAGCAATAAGGATCGAAATGTTACCTTAAAATTTAAACTTACCCTTTTCGTTAAAAAGACAACTGTAAATTACCTTAGCTTGAATCACTTGAGAATCCTCAGCGGAGTCGCCAAGCTGTCGCAACCGTCTTTCGGTTGGGCCCCGAGATTAGGCTTCGACTGAAAATTGTGGATTGAGAGTCGTCACCGATCATTTATTTAAAAATAAATGGGTTGATTGAATACCCTATCTCTTACCTGATCTGCGTCTTACCAGAAATATGTCGGGCTCAGGAGTCAGTTACGATCAAGGAAGGATTAGCACCCTTGAACCACCCTTTCGGTACTGCGTAATTTTCAGTTGTCTTAATTAAGAAAATTGTAATTTTAAACTAAAAGGTAAAATTTGATCATGAATTACTTACCTCTGATTAATTGACGAAAATACCCTTAAAAAGTCATAAGATGTGTTAGAGGGAAAAAAATGAATAAATGAAAAAATGAAGAATAAAAATAAGTAAAAAAAATAAAGGAATAAAGGAATAAATAAATAAATGAAATATTAATATATATATATATATATATGAGTAAAATAGAAAAATAATAATCATAACAATAATAATAGTAATATGAAAATATAATATAATATAAATCAAAAAAATCAAAACCAAAAATAAATAAATATATAAACCAAATATAAAAGTATACATATAATGATAATTGGCTTATAAATAAACTATTAGAAACATACATATATACGTATAATGATAAAGTAAAAAAAAACTAAATAAAGATAATTACAATATATATATATATAGTAATAATACGCTTATAAGTAAAATATTAAAAAAAAAAGTATATATATATATATATAAATAATAAATATAGTATTAAAAAATAACCAAATGAATATAAATAAATAAAAATATATATGTATATATAATAATAATATATAATGTAAAAAAATCAATTGAAAATCATTTAAAAAAATATACGTATATATATTTATATAATGACAATAATGTAAATAATAAATAAATAAAAATATATATACAATAAATAAAATGACTAATATAAAGAAAAATAAAGATTGGGGCCAAATTTGAAAGACAACTAACATTGATATTACGCATTAGGGTGATAAAAAATGAACACGCCCCAGAGTAGGTCTAGGTTCGAAACTTCGAAACCCCACCTATTTTTTGTCATCGGCGCAACCCACGTTTTGGGTTATTCGAACCAAATCTCAAAAAAATAACGTGCACATACGAGAAATGAACGAATAAAAAAAATGCTACCTTTTATTTCCTTTTCGAATCGTTTACAATAGATTTGCCTTTGTATTTTATGTGTTTTCCTTTGTATTTTGTCTGTAAATCGTGTCACAATAGTGAGTTACAATGGTTATTTATAGTGCTTGTGGATCTTATTTTTAGGAGTTTAAATCATAGTATAACTCTATCCTATTTTTAGGAGTTTGAATCCTAGCAAAATTCTATCATATTTTTAGGAGTTTGAATTCTAGTAGGACGAAAAGGTGTGTTGACACAAACGAACATGAACATAATTTTTTTGTTTATACTCATTTATTTAACTTAACAAGAGAACATAAATGAACGTTATATAAATGGTTCACTAACAGTTCACCGAACGCTCTGTTCACTTACACCCCTATGTATGCATTCTCAATAAGTTAAAAAAATTCTACACATATATTATCTTGTAATTACAAGAAACTATTAAATAAAACTTAAATAAATGAAATAAATAAATTTTTAAATAAAGGATAACAGTTGGATTTGAACTCATACAACCACTCTGTCGTTAAGAGTGTACAAAACTCGACTCTATTTAAAATATTAATCTTTTAGATTTAGTTCGACTCGAAAAAATAGACTCAACTCGAAATAATTTTAAATTCAAGTCTATTTATAAAATAGAACTTGAATAACTCGAATCACAAAATTTTTAATAATTAATGAATTATTTTTTAAGTTTAAATCGAATACCTTAACTTTATATGATATATGTATATTACATATAAAAAAATATAAATATATATATATATAGTTAAAGAGAACCATTTAAATTAAAATCAAATAGTATAATAATATTATAAATATTTATTCTTCAAATTTTATAAATTCAACTATACTAAAAAAAATCAAATAAAAATTAAAATATAACTTATTAACTCAAACAATTTAAATATTTTTATTCGAATTAGCTTAACTCGATTTGAACAAGCGCTCATCCTTAGTGGTTGTATGGAGGCTTCTACTGTATGAAAAGAGGAGAATTGAACAAATTTGAAAGATTTATTTGTTTCTAGTTTTCCCTCTCAACGGGCTTTCACACTGCTGCCGGCTGCCTCTTTTTGTATCACTCATTAGTCATTAGATCCCCATTTCGACATTTTTTCTAGAACGCTTGCAAAGCTGTCTTTCTTTTTGGAGTTCCAACTTGAAGAAAGGGAAACCCTAAAAAAATGGGGGAATCCACGAGAATGATCGATGTGGAGAAGCTGATATCTTACAGCGACGATCTGGTGGAGGTATTGAAGGACAAAAGGGACATTAGCAACGTAACGCAATGTTCCCAGCACTTTAACGATCTCCGCTCGCATTGCGACTCTGATTCCAAAGAGATTTATCGGTTGATTCAAGGTCTCTTTCCTTCTCTACTTCTATTTGTTCCCGCATAAATTAAGAGGAAAAAGGATGACACTAACGGAATATCTTTTTCTTTCCTTCCTTTTTGTTTATGATTTTTTTAAAATGCAGAATATGAAGAAAAGATCGAAGCTTGCAAGAAGAAAACAGAGCAGGCAAAGTCTGAGGTTGCCGATGCTGCTGAAATGGATTATCTGCATAAGGAATTCCAAGAGGAACTGGAAAAAGAACTTCGACTTAAGGAGGAGCTTAGATAAGTATATGCATTTGTTGGAGTTTATCTTTAGATATTATTTAAGGGTTTCATTTATTTATTTGTTAAATCTTCTTTTATAAGAACACGGCTATTAGCAATGAGATAATTGAGCTGGAGCGCCAGAGGGTTTCTATAGAAGAACAGAAGAAAAAGTTAAGGAAATTTGAGCAAGACAAATTCAAAGCACAGTAAGTTCACGAACTCCTATTTACATAGGGATTAATGTTTGGTTGTCATTATACTGGTAGCTGTTCCGTGCATGAATATGTCTCTTAGAAAAATAAGAGAAATATCTTGACTTGAATTTCTGAACTTTGATTTCCATGCATATGCTTCTTGGTCGGATATTGTGGAATTTTCAATTGGTGGGGTATTGCGGGCTGTTTTTCCTAAAAATGTTCCAGCCTTCCTGCCTTATTGTCTTGACTTAGTGTCTTGTGGTTTTAGAGAATGGTGGTGGTCGGTTTGTGTTGCGACGATACAGAGTGTTTGGTTGGCTAAGAGTGTTAACCTTTGAAGGGTATCGAAGGGATTAGTTGTTATTGTTATTCTTGATTAAGTTTAGGTCCTTGCAGCGGATTAATGCAAATGGGATTGGTGATGTTTGATTGAGGAGTCTGTGTGGTGGTCTGAGCCAAGATCTATCTGCTCTGTTGATATATGTTGAAACGAATTTAGGCAAAGAACATGACATAATTATTGAGTTGGATTCAAAGAATGAATTTTAATGTGGAGTGTCAATTTTAATTTCAGACCCTGAGTTTTGGCGTATGTTTTTGTTAAGATTGCAAGGCTATCTCTTCTCTTTGCTCATTCAATTTTGTTATGTATTGATTGAGGGAAGCCAATCTTTTGCTGATGTGTTAGATAAGGGGGGAGTGACTAGAGTATCATTTTAATGCTCGGTAATTCTTCTGCTTGTTTTGTTTGGTGTATTGCTGCAATCTGTTTCATGATATTGCTGCAAACTTTTCTTTCAGTTCTCTTTAATAAATGATTTACTGATTTAGAAAAAATATGTATTTGCATATTATTGACATGACTGCTTGTTGTCTGAAAATAGCAGAGGTTATTTGGAATAACATGTTATGGACCTAATCTATTTTAGCAAAGGCCATTAGTTAATTTCTATTATATGCGCTTTATTTGTTTCCTTGTTTTTTTATTATGCATTTATTTTAGTTTATTTGTTTTCCTTTTAAGAATATATTTCTTCTTTTATGTAATAAGACCCATCTTTATTTTAAGGGACATATGAAATAATATGAGAGGCAGAATTTATATCAAAAACCTTAAAAGGTTAGGGTCTCTCTTTAATGAGCCCTATGGTTTCTGTCTGCCTTTGATGAGCTGAAAGGTTTCAATCTCCCTTCAACGAAAGACTGTACGAAGCAGCATGTTCATGAAAGTATTGCTGAAACCAAACCCGATTGCTATATGAACTTTGTGAAGAAATGGATAAAATAATTGCTGTTAAACAGGATAGAAACTCTACGGTAGATACAAAGATAGACCCATTATATGAACAAAATCAAATCACAGCAGCCTCTACCGGTCTCTTTTCCTTGTGCTGTGCATCAAACTCTTCTAAACCCATCTTAACAAAAATCATGGCATTAACAACCAACATCACTTAACTAATTTATCGACCCTTTCTAAACTTATATCCAACAACACATGTTTTTCTTTAAACCCAATCCAAAAAACGTTCTACTCTATGTCAAAAAATTTTAATGAGTTTAAACTTGCTAATGAATTTTTGCTAATTGTGAATGTTGGTAAGAAGTTTGAAGAGATGTCTTCCATGGCATCGATGAGTGAAAATAAATTTACGGAGGCCCGTGACCCTTACAGGTTTTGACCACTAATAATGGAAGGGACCTTTCGCTAAGTTTATCTTGACTTCGAGCTTGAGGAGACTCTTTCTCCGGGAGGAGTAATGCTGTAGGCCAAAACTATATTAGGGAAGACTGTTAGTTAATTTCGATTATCTCCTTAAGGCTTAGGTGTAATTTTGTTTCTTTCCTTCTTTCTTAATTATGGTTTTATTTTTAGTTGATTTAAGAATAGATTTCCTTTTTTATGTAATAAGACCGGTCTTTATTTAAAGAGACATGAAATAATATAACGGGGAGTAGAATTTATATAAAAATCCCTAAAAGATCTGGGTCTCTCTTTAACAAGTCAAAGTTTTCAGTCACCTTTTAATGAGCCGAAAGGTTTCAATCTCCTTATGACAAAACTGAGCTATCCATCCTATATTTTCTCATTCCAAAAAAGTGTGGTAATGGCTACTGTACTTTCCAAAGTTGTCTTGCTGAGTTAATGTCTGGAGTTTGCAAATGAATCATCATTCTTTGATCTTGCAGGAGGAAGCTTTCGATGTATGCCTCTATAACTAATATTATTCCAGACTTGGAAGATCAGTCCAAAATCTCAGGCCGTATCCTTCTGATAAAATATTATTTTCCTCTTCATCCTGTTTTATTTGTCAAATATCAGTTTTCTTTTCTTTTTCATATTCGAAGGTTTTTTTTTTGGATTTACGAGGTTCCCCTTGATTCAACTTTATCATAGATATAGTGGATAGAGATAAAAAGGTGCTTAAGAAGTTTGAATTTGACCCATCAAAGATGAGTGCTTTTGATGCTTGTGATAGCCTATGGAAGATGATAAATTCCCAATAGCCGTTGCTCATATTTTGTATTGTCATGTAATAGATGATTATGGTTCTTAGAGCCTTTCTTAGCGGAGCAATGTGTGCAAAATGTTGGATGCTTCCATTGCAGCCTTTCTGTTGTTGAAGAATTCAATAGTTTAGAGAGGGTTGTTTCATGTTTGTTGATGATGATTAATCAAATTTCTTTCTAAATTTGAGTTGGCAACCCTAAACCTGCAGATGAAGCTCATGTTAAAAATTCTCCTTATGCATTTGCTGGGGAAATTAAGAATTTAAAACTACGCTAAATGTGCCGGCATTTTTTTTTTGGCTTATTTAGGCCATTATTGTGAGTTTAAAAAATTAGGGAATGAATATTTTCTATCAAAAAATAATTAATTTAGACTTCCTATTTCTTTGAAATTTGATATATATATATCGGATATGAAAAATTATGAAGAAATATATATGTATTGTATATGGTTATGGATTTTTTTTAAATTAAAATCAAATTGTATCATGGTATTATAAATATTTACAATTAAATTTAAAAAAAAAAACTCAAATAACTCAATTCAATCCGAAAATTTTTAAATAAAGTTATTAGACTCAAATATCTCAAAATTTTGACTTGATTTGATTTGATTGAATGCTTAGAGATTAACAAAGTTGTGTTTCCCATGTGCATGGTTAACAACTCTAGAACTTATCAACACCTACACCATCCCTAGAAATCTCGTACGCATCACTACACCTGGTTTTGGTTATTCCAGCCGTGACATACAGCTTTGATCCATCAGATGTGATAGCAGATACATCACATATTGCTGGGATGAAAACCATAAGCTTTTCGTAGTTGGTGGCATCACGAGAGAACTGTAGACACCCGTTTTTGTCCGGGTTTTTTTCGTTATTTTATTATTATTATTATTATTATCGTTATCTTATTATTTTATTATTATTTATTATTACAAATTTTTGCAGGCTCAAACCCGAAGCCCATCAGATACCAAACCCGACCCAGAATTACAAGACCTGGAGCCCAGACCCGGTTCAGGCCCAATACCCGAACCAGGCCTGGATCTGGCCCAAGTAATTAGGGTTTTAAACCCTAAACGTATCATCATCCAGCCGCCGCCGCCAGCAACAAATGAACAGCCGCGCCACCGTCACTGTTCCGGCCCACTCCGATGGTCCAGCCGCCGTTCCCGCGCCACCATCGTCATCTACAGTGAAAAATCAATCAAACAGCAACCCCATCAGTCCCAAATCAACCCAAATCAGTAAAAAATATATATATATCCAAACCCTAAATTAAAAATACCTAAATCCCGATAAATCGGGAAATTTGTCCCTACCAAGGTCAGAGACCCTTACCCCTACGCTAGCATCATCATCATCTCACCAAACGAAGCAAAATCAACCATAAATCAAGCAAAGATATCAGAGGAAGGAGGTTTTTCATTCGGGAGATAAAAAAAAAACAGAGAGAAGAACGAGAGAGTATTCGGTGAAAAAAAACCCAGAGAAGTTCGTACAAAGAAAAAAAGGAAAAAGCTTTCGAACTAAAAAAAACAAAACATACCTTTGAGGGAGATTTGACCGTTAGTAGCTTCACCGGAGTTGTGGAACCCGTATCCTAAGGTAAGGGTTTCGTTTTGTTTTGTGGAGGGGGCTCGGTTTTAGTTTGGTGTTAGAGAAAGGCAGAGGAAAAAGGAAGAGTGAAAGTCTTTTGGGGTTTGGTTCAGCTCCCCATGGCCACCGATACAGTGGCCGGGGAGCCTCGGGTTTCTTGTTTCGGCAAGGGAGAAGGGAGAATAGAGAGAAAACGGTGAGAACGGCTGGGGGGGCTTTGAAATGAGAAGGGGTTTCTGAATAACCCTAAAATGGGATTATATCCCAGTTTCAAAAACGACGCCGTTTAGAGGGGTCAGGGCTTCCGTGTTTTCAAGTGTAAAGGGTAAATAGCACCTTAGGTCCCTTGCAGTTGTAATTTATTTATTTCAATCATATACTGAAAGTTTGCTTTATTATATTTTGAGCACTTATGTTTCTGTATTTCTATTTTAGTCCTGTTACTATGTGTTATATTATTATTTGTTAATGTTGAACTCTGGCCACAATGTTTGTAATAGTTTCATTTTAGTCCTAATTTCTTGTGTTATGATATTTTGTGGGTGTTTGAGTTTAGCCATCATCTTTGCAAATGTTCTATTTTGGTCACTGTCCGACATTTTGTTTAATTACTTTTTGATCCTCCGTATTTCTGTGAAATTGTTTTAGTCCTCATTTGCATGGTTTGTGTAATTATTTGATTTTACGCCTTAGAGTTTAGATTTGTTTCATTTCAGTCCATATTTGGTTATTTATTTCAATTTCATTAGTTTTTAATTTAGGCTATGATATTTATAATAATTGTATTTTAGTCACTTATTACATGTGTTGTGTGATTTTGGCTGATATTCAAATTTGGCCCATGAATTTATGATTATTCCCTTTTAGTCACTGTTTATTATTTGATTTAATTACTGTTTGGCCCTCTATGTTTCTGTTGATATTTTAATTTGGCCTTAATATTTATGTATGTTACATTTTGGTCACTCTTACAGTTTATGTATTTTGTATTTTGTATACCATGTTCATATAGTTTGTATTTTGGTCACTAGATCTTCTGTTGCTAATATTTTTATAAATTTGTACATTGTATTCTGCAGTTATTTTATTTTAGTCCTATTATTAAATGTAATGTTATTATAGTCATATTTTACTTTGGCCACAATGTTTGTATTAGTTTCATTTTAGTCACTGATTTTGTATGTTATATATTGGCTGATGTTCGATTTTGACTCTAAGATTTGTAAATCTTTTTATTTGAGTCACTAGTTTGCATTCGGTTTAATTACTATTTTAGTTCCTACATTTCTGTTTTTGTCATTTTAGTATTTTAATTTTCTATTTTACCGTTTTTGCCCTTTAAGTTGTTATTACCATGTTAATCATTGTAATTATTAAATACTTACTTTATGACTATTTTATTTTGGGTTGTAATATTCATTTGTATTTATTTCAATATGTATGTACATATTTCGTGTTATGTAATCATTCGTATCAAATGTAAATAAATATGCCTAACTCTATTGGTTGTAAATCTTTTATTGTGCATATTTTTATTTGTATTTATTTCCATTACATTATTATAGATGAAACATTGGACTTTTATTTTAAAGAACACATATGCGTAGAATGAGCGTGGAAAGTATCACTTGGTCGAAGTGATGCGATCCGATACGACATTTTAACAAATGTGAACTTGAAATAAATATAGTTCATTTTACCAATTAAATCTTGTTTATTCAAATAATTCAATACATTTGTTTTGTGGTATTTTTATTTTATGTTAATATCGATTTTCAATTCATATTCGATTCACATTTTATCAAAGAGGGAAATATTCTTTATGGATAAGGGATAGTCAAGTTAGCTTTCCCGATGGAGGATTGTTAATTTCGAGATTTCTTTTCAAGTTAAAGAATTTTTTTCTAATTAATTAATTTGAAGTAAATTAATCAATGTTCAATAAACAGATCATCTTGTAGCTTTATATTCGCTTCATCTTTTCCACCATTTACGACAACGTGTAAGCGACACAGTACCAATTTTGGGCGTTGTGGGAGTGCTTACCCTTCCCCACGCGTAACCGACTCCCGAATCCATTTAAATGAATCTTTGGTAACGCAGACCGAATTTTGTCTTAAAAAATGATTTTTCTTAAAATGGTTTTGAAAAGATGTTTTAGGTATTCGATCTACCTAACCTAAAGGTCGATGGCGACTCTATTCAATTTATTCCAAATTAATTCCAAAATCACAAAATTTTCAAATTAAAGCCATAATCGTTTTTAAAATAATATTTAATTGTTTTACAAAAATGGTTATGACAGCTTGGCGACTCTGCTGGGGACCTTTTTTTAGAGAGTCAGGTTGTATGTCGTTTACATATTGTCATCTTGGCGGAAATTATGATTTCTAGTTTTTAGTTAATTTATGATCCGTTTATTGAAATTTTAATTGCTTCGTTTTTTTTGTCGTACTAACATTTTATTTTTGGCTTTCAGCTTTGTCAGGATTTTATCATTTTTCTTTGTTTTGTTTTCCTTTTGGGTCGAAGGTAGGTATGTTCCTCCTCACACACATCACTCGCATTGGCATAACATAAGCCCTAGACACGAGCTTCGATCCAAATTAGTTGGGGTGAATGCTTTACTCTCGTAAGAATTTATTCTTCGTATGAGTTTTAGCAAATAACCCATGGGATACATACCTTATACCTTCGTAGGGATTTATTCCTCGTACGGGTATAAGACAGTGAATCCCCTCGAATTGAACTCGTTCCGTTTGAAACCTGTAATGGGTGAGGATCGAGGGTCTGGCAGTCCAAGGGGACACCGACATCAAGGACAATTCGAGTCCCTTTGCTCCGTTAGAGCCGAAACCAAGCATATAGTGAACCGTCGAACGATCACCCTAGGTATAGTCGTACCGAACCTTTGTCCGTCAGTAGGTACCCAAAATAGGTGTACACGAAGGAGGAACGATTCTAAACCTTAACCTTTTAAATTTGTAGAATATATTTTTCCGAATAAAGCATGCGAACTAGATACCATGCAGTTAGGACCAATTTCTGGAAAATAGATCATTTTGGGTAGATAGCATGTCCGGGTAGGATTGTTATTTAATTGAAAGCATGTTTGGGTAGATATCATGACGGGGTAGGTGTTATATCCATCTCTGAATTACATTTTTTATTTGTATCAATTATTTTACATGTACTAACTTATTTTTCTCTTTTGTTTGTGTATACTAACTTATTTCTTCTCTTTTGTTTGTGTCATTTTGTCATTTGCATTGCATTGCATTGCATCATCATAATGCAAAAGTGTTGATCCGTAAGGGGATATTCGAGAGAAAATTTTCACAAGAAGAGATAAAAGTTTTCAATTAAGTGATCGCATACACAGACATGCATCGAGGGCTAAAAAGAAGTCCAGAGTACAAGAATGAGATTTTCTCGAAGATCGTGCATCATTCGAGACTGATATGATAATCCACTGATCTAAGGAGTAATCCAGCAGTAGATTCTCATCCACAATTATTCCATCGTTAACCATCAGGGAGTGGAGCACAAACTTCAGCATAGCCGAGGTATTAATGGAGTTAGCTTACAGAGCATTGAGGGGCATCGGTTCCAAGTACAAAGATCCGAGACGAAGCAGTGAGCTCGAAGATCGTGCGTCATTCGGTACTGAGATGATGATCCACTGATTCAAGGAGTAATCTAGCAGTGGAGTCTTATCTACAATCATTTCGTCGCTAGTTATCAAAGAACGACACACCGACCTCACTACCACCGAGGCATTAACGGAGTCAGATTACAGAGCGTTTGAGGGGCATCATTATTGAGGACGAAGATCCGATATGAAGCAGTGATCCATTCCAGGCTCACCATCTAAGCGAAGACATGTCTGTAAAGTGGACTGTCTTGTAATGTGAAATTTTTTATCTCTGGTGGAAATTGTTCTACGGTATTTATCGTTGGGATCAATATTTTTGCATCCGCATTTGTATCATTGCATTTTATTCAACATTCATTTAAGCATTGTTATGTGCATTAATCATACCTTGTGGGAAACTTTGAGGAAGCGCTTCTAACTGTGCAACTGCATTCACAAAGTATTGAAAATGGATGCAAAATTTGAGGAATTGAAGAAAGAGCTGAACGAGAGTTTGCAAAAGTTGCAAGCAGAGTGGGAGGTTAAAATGGAGCAGATGCAAAAGACCACCGTGGATCGTATCTTGCAAAACCAAAAAGACCTAGTT